TAGAACAAAGCTGAACTAGGCAGAATTTCTAAGTATTTTGGAGTGACGGTTGCTGTCTGCTCTAATTACAGGCATATACGGGTATGTTATAAAAAGGAATGCTTATGTTTTGTACAATTATAGTAATATTATATTACAGTTTTAATGCAAACAAGCTAATGCCTCACTTAGTGGAAGATGGTAAATCATTTTACATTAGGGTTATTAGCTTGTTTGCCCTTCTAAATTGCATAAAAAAAGTATGAAAAGAAATATATCAATTAAGAATGGAATATTAATTATTCTCACGTCGTTTAAAACACATAAAAATAAATATTAACTGCTTTTATATGGCAGTAAACTCGAAACATTGCACGTAAAGGCATATGTGGAATATGAACTGAGACTTTGCCAAGCGTGAACACAGAACTACAGTGTAACGCAGTCATAGACACATTGTTAATATCGTTCTATCTCCAGATGCAAGGAGAATCGTTTATACATATGTCACCCAATGGTAGTAATTTAAAGCTGGTAACTGACCTGTATTAACTGAATGTAGTGTAAGGCTAGGGCCACATTCAGTAGACCTTATGAACCTAACTGTTGCAAGAAGATTTCGTCGTGGATTTAATGTCATCTGCTGAGCCTTATAATGTTAGTTTAAAATATAATTTCTAGAAGTGATAACTATTTATTAACTAATCTGTATTAATTAAATGTAACGTAAGGCTAGGCTTCAGTGGACGTTGGATATGGAGCTTTAAATGAAGATTGGACAAAGTAGATTTGGAGTATATACTTTTTTTTTTTATACAACTTAGAATGGCAAACAAGTTAATGACCCATCTGATGGAAAGTGGTAACCGTCGCCTATAGACAAGAGCAGTGCCATGGACATAACAGAGTATACTGTTTCGCCCATGATACCACCGATGCGTTGCCATTCCTGAGGACTCAGGTGTTATTCCTCCGTACCCAGTAAATTCACGCCATATCCCGGATATGGCGTGAAAAACCAAAACACAGCCATGCAAACACAACTGCTGTACGGTTGAAATACGAATGGGACAGAGGTACCCAAGCAATCGACTTTTGTACAAAGTCTCCCTCTGGTATATAGGCATATTATTGCTGAATTGTATAATAATACCATTTATTTCTATCCAAATCAACAATATTATGCCTCTATAAACTCATACAATTTATAAAATTAGCAGTGTTAATTCATCTAACCAAATTTCTGCCCAGCTACGGATCTGTTTTCTGTCCGCCAGTCTGACTAGTAAAATTAACTATTTGAATTGAACATTCAGGCTTAATAAACCTTAAATCAAGGGTCTCGCGCGTCGCGAGTCAATGTGAATCAATATCTTAGTTACTGTGTACTAAATATTGTATGAGAAATTAAATAAATAACTTTTGTGTGTGTGTGTGGATTTTTTAAATTAAACAAGTGCCTCAGGCTAAGAGTAATTATCCACTAGAAAAACATTAACCTTCCTTTTTAGGTAGTCGAGTAAAAGTAATCTTCATATTAGTTAAGTATATCAATATTCAGATTCTTGATTTACAACATGGTTATATTAGATTGTTTATTATTCAGTTGTGTATATATATATATATATATATATATATATATATATATATATATATATATATATATATATATATATATATATATATATATATATATATATATATATATATATATATATAAACTATATACATATATATAGCTACATGTTTCACCAATATACTGGTACGCAAAATTTATTAAAATAGTATAATCTTGATATAGATACACCTATATTATATATATACCTCATTTTATCTATACTTATAATAAATCTGTAGAGAGGTCAATTCTATACATGAAATATATTTCCAAAATAACTATTAGGGGATGATTAGTGATCGATACTGATGCCAAAAATGTAATCAGTAAAATTTTTGTCTGTCTCTTTGTATGTTCGTTATAGAAACAAAAACTACTCGACGGATTTTAACGAAACTTAGTACAATTATTCTTCATACTCCCGAGCAGGTTATAGTATACTTTTCATCACGCTACAATCAATAGGAGCAGAGCAGTGAAGGGAAATATTGAGAAAATGGGAAAAGTTACTCGATTTTTAAGCTTCCGTCGCGTGTGCAGCCTTAATGGCCACTTTCTAAAATGTAAAAATGTCCACCCGTGCGATGCTGGACGTGTGTAATCGTCATGTATGTCCCGGCATAGAATAAACTACCCTTTCCTTTTCCGTTAGTTTTTATAACATTAAGAGCCAAATGAGCATGCGGCTCGCCTGATGATAAGTGACTACGGATGCCCATGATCACCCACAACACCAGAGGCATTGCAGATGTACTGCAGGACTTTTAAAAAAAGACATACTCTATTCTTGAAGGTTATGATGGCGTATCGGTTCGAAAATACTGCTGCTGGAACTTGATTGAAAAGAGTGGTTATGCGTGAAAGAAAGTACCTTGAAAAACGCACGACGGATGACCGCCATTCGTCTGGCGGATGACCGCCACTCTTCTAGATGGTTCGGATGAAAATTTAGTGGGTATCGTAAGAGTTAACTAAGGGAACTTATGGTCGAGAGATAGGCAACAGCGTCCCTCTTAAAACATCTATAGAAGCCTAACTGCGCCTGCCAACCCGCCTGCCAAGCGTGGCAACTACTGGAAAGACTTCCCTTATAGGGAAAGCTTACATTCAGCAGTGTATACTAAATGGCTGAAGCAATAATAATAAGTGTGTAATAATTTTTGTCACATAAGCTTCAAACCATATAAACCATGTAGGTCCATATGGTTTGAAACATATGTTTCTCAGCTATTACAGTACATAATACATTTGTTACTCCCGCGAATCATATTTCCGACAATATCATTTCGTGAGTCGACGTACCATGAAATACGTCTTGAGTGACTCGGCACAAGATGCCGCCACTAAAACCGGGAGGCCGGTAGCACACTGAGATGTGCAGACGCTTAAATATGTTTCTGTTGCTATAAAATAATATTTATGTACGTGTAAAATAAATGTGAAAATGTATTTATTAATTAATTAATCATTTATTTTGTGAGTAATAGGTACATACATATGATGTTGTGGTAAAAATACAATGTGGCTTATTATCAACCTTAAAGGCATACAAAATATTAAAAAGTTCAAACTAAAACTTTTCCTCAAAACATGAAAGAGCACCAGAAAATCGAAAACTTATCCCATAGAATCCTTAACAAATCTGCCACAGATTTATAAACAAAATATGTATTTATAAGCATTTATGTTACTTATTTATGAATAGTTCGTGAGTGGCGACCTCGTACAGGTAAATTCAGTGTAGGATGACCATCCACTAGATGGAGTGACGACCTCAAATGCATTACAAGGAGTCAATGGATGCCGGTGGCTCGGGACCGTTCTTTACGGCAGTCTATGGGGGAGGCCTATGTTCTACAATAAACAGACAACGACTGATATGATGATGATTATTATTCCATATTCATTATAGCCATTATTCGTCTACTGCTGGACATAGGGCTCCCCTCCATAGACTACCATAAGGAACAGTCCCGAGCCACCTGCATCCACTGACTCCCTGCAATACATTTGATGTCGCCACTCCATCTAGTGGTGGATCGTCCTATGATAATGAATACCTATCTCAATGAATATTTATGTACTAATAATTAAGTATTTATATGTATTCATTTTAATATTGTAAATTATTATAACATCAGAAGTATTACGAGAAAGTTGCCGACCCTGACAAAAATGTGCGTAAATAATCTTATGGACGTAATGGATTTTATGCGGTAGTCTCTAGAGAAAATCTAACAATTAATTAATTTAATATAGATTTTTTCCTAAAATATAAGGAATAGAAAAATGAAAAAATAATACTGTACGCGTAAATCGTTTTTTAATACATTTTTATTGATAATATTTATGTATTACTAGCAATTTGAGTTTCCTATTACTTCGTACTTGTGGATTTTAAAAGTAAAAAAAAAACAATTAAATTGGTAACTTTTAAATGGCATATTATGATAAAGCATACACTAGTTTTTAAATGAGATTTTAAGCAATACAATTGTGAAAACTATATTTAATTTTGATGTAGTAGTTTCAGTGTGATGCCTGAAAAAATATCATTATCATCATCTCAACCATTACCCATTCACTGCTGAAAATAGGCCTCCCATATAGACTGCCATAAAGAACAGTTCTGAGTCACTGAGTCCTGAACAAACATACAGACAAAATTTTAAAAAAGATGTTATTTAAACTTCTATTGCTCCTATTATTTTTAAAATTTGTGTTAATTTTTAATTCCTTGTCTATATATAGTGCATATATAATCGGAAACTAACAAACTCGCCGTTTTTGTTTTTGTTTTCGACATTTGTTTCGACTTTATTTCTTTACGGGGCGTATGGCGCTTTGCAACAGTTCAAAAAATTACAGCAGTGAAGATGAGAGATCTTCATAGTCAATGATAAAAAATAGCCCACGATGTACGCTGATAATGTAGCTTATTATAAGATGAAAGACTATTTAAAATATATTAAATGTCTTTTGGATTTATCCATTACAAACATAAAATCAGGTTTTTCTTTTTAAATCTTTTATATAATTTAGGCGATATTAATCTATAATTTTTGTTTATAGCATTCATCGCTACGCATTATGTACTGCACGCAATCCCCAACTCGTCCTTTCGAACCGCTACCGTTGTAATATTTTATCCCCATTCCTCCCCAAATCATGGAACTTCTTTTACAGTGATTTGATGATATTGCACTTTGACGAACCGTGGGGATGTTAGGTAAAAAAAAGGAAAACAAGATGGATGATTTATACCGACCGAGAGTTTCGTCCCTACAAGAGCAGTCAAATGCCCTTCAGTACAAAATTGAGCTGTTACGTTGATTACTTTCTAGCGTGAGTCTATTGTTAAAAAAACAAATTTGGGGTAAGTATTTTCCTATAGACGACATACCTGTCAGTTCCTCCGGCCATTGTCTTGTAGTCTTGAATTTCCATGTCACCCATATACTGCGAGAAATCTGAAAAGAAAATCACCCATAATCTATTAGTTACTAAAACACAGAATATTAAATTGTATAATATATTTTATTATTTTTATACACTTTAATATTTTTTTTATATCATAGTTGTAAATATGGCAGTTCACCCCCCTCCCCCCTCCCCGCTCAGAGTACGCAAAATAAAATAAGATTTTTAATATAACTCAAATTCAATAAAAAAAATCTTGAAACTCATAAATATAAGCTAGACCTCTGGTCTAATTTTCATTTAAGTAAACCTTATTATAAGCACTTTAATTGACTTTTTTTTATGAATTTACCGCCTAATTCGAAATACAATTTTAACTGAGAAGAAGGAGCAAGAAACTAAGCTGTTGCTTTTTGTTTAACAAAAGTCAAGTTTAAAAAGAATATTGAAACAATATTCTATAAGAAAATAAAAGAAATATTGTACAATAGTCGAATCGATTTATAATTCGACGATTTTCGACAGCATCTACATTCGCACCCTTGGCGAAATTCGACTCGATTCATATTCGAATCACGGCCGTCGAACGTCCGGGCGTACGGCGCGTCACGCGCGTTGTGGCCACGCGCTAAATGAATATTGACATCCAACTAGCGAACGGATTGAATTGATAATCGACTAAGTACTAAACTAAATTCGACTATTTCAGTAAAGAAATATATTCACTAGTTTTAAATTTGATGCAAATAAATTGTAGACATGTTTAATAAAGGTTCTAAATGAATATTGACAGGCGAAGTCTATTTTCAAACTATTTTTATATATCTTTTATATATACCTTTATTTTGTCACTATCTTTTACCCGCGACTTTATCCGCGTCTGTAATCATATCTCATATGTTTATTGACCAGGATAGAAATAGTAGCCTATACCCTTCTCCATTCCACATTAGTATATATATTATATTCATATTAATTGGCCTTTATAGTCCTATAAAGTAACAAACAAACAAATTTTAATATTTACAGTATTAGTAAGGATAATAATCAGAGAATAATAGGTAGATATGTATATCTTAGATAGATAGGTTTTATCTTAACTTGAAACATAAGATACTTTATATAAGAATTCACGCAGACAAAGCCATGGGATAGAGCTAATAGAACTCCACCAGTGAGAAATTGGTAACCGTTGCTTTAGTCATCAACAGCATCAACAATCAAAATATCACCAAATACAACGTGACTTGCAATGAGTTCTCTAAGACATTATGCTTTCATATCTTGTATTGCCATTCTCCCAATTTAAAAACCACAACAGAGCCAAGTAAACACAAGCTACTTGGTGCAAAAACATAAGAGAATCGGATACCTATATAAATAAACAATTTTTATACAAACAAAAAACATAGATAAATAAGAAGGGACATTTCGAAATTAATCCGAGTGATGGCGGTAGGCTCACCTCGTGCCAGGTTGGATTTAAATTATGCTAGACGATATGGGAGCAGGTCCACAGTTACATGTACTAAAAGAAATATGTGTATGATATAGTTAGATACATACTCTTTATTGTTACTTCCAAAAGATTACAATAGTAAACTTATTATAAATATAAACAATTACAAGAAATAATCACAGTGAGAAAACAATGGGCAACCTTATTGCTAATATAATATGAATAATATAAATAAAGATGACGATAAAAAAAAAAACATTTTCAATTGTGACAAAATCTGTTATTTTCATTTAAAAACTAAACTACTAAATCAATTTTATTAACATTTCCATGAGATCAGACAGGTCAAACTGTAACTATATCCTTTCACATAAGAATAAATCCAAATCGGCTTAGAACTGACAGAGTAACAAACATAAAAATTACAACCGAATCGAAAACCTTCCTTTTGAAATCGATTGAAAACAATGGAATTATCTACAAGTGATTTGAATTATATATTACCAGCTTTTACCTGCAAACTCATCCGTGTGACTAGTGTAATGTTCACTGACAAGATAAAAAGTAGCCTGTGCCCTTCTTTATGCCATATTTTTTTCTTTTTTTATAACAGGGGGCAAACGAGCTTGCAGCTCACCTGATGGTAAGTGACTATCGTCGCTCATGATTGCCCGCCACACCAGAGGCATTGCATGTATGCTGTCGGCTTTCTAAAAAGGAATATGTTCTTTTCTTGTAGGTTTTTATAGTACGTGTATACTAAATTTCATAGTGATTAGTTAATCCGTTCAGCTGTTGAGGGACGACAAATAAACAAACTCACTTTCATATTTGTTTTAATGTTTAAATTTGCCGCCTTCTATTTAGTTTTGACGTTTACCATAGAATATATAGTTAATTGCGATTTTAGATAGTTTCTTTTATCTGTGTCGTACGCTTAAAAAATAAAATTGTTCTTTGCAATTTCTGTTTTTGACTTGTGCTCAATAAGAAATTAGTTTAAATAAAATAACAATAATTTTTACATTAGTCAGGATTGCACGATTAACTGTATTTTCTGTTATTCCTGTGTACAGTCGACTGGTGGATAACGCCATCTGGTGTTAAATCCGCCATTTACACTTTCTAGGTATATTAAAGTTTAATAAATAACCCTAATTTTTATTTTATCTCAAAATTCACGAGAACGAGAGCTAAAAGGGTTTGCTAAAAATTTTCCTATGTACATAAAAACATTATAAAATACCAACAGCCACTTTCCAAAAGGTAAACGAATACGCAGAAATAACAATAGCAATAAAGTATACGACGCACCTGTATAATTTAAACGGCAAACAATGAATGTCTCGCGAAGAGTCTGAAATTGAAACGGATAGCGCCATCTGTCTTATATATTTTTCATAATTTCCAAGTAAATAATTTTGTCCATTTTGCAAGATAATAGAGGGGTGGGCCACGGGGGGTACGGCGCGGGAGGTTAATGAATGGTACAGATTTTGCATAATTAAAAAGGGGTGTCTCAGATGATTGCTTATTTCAATGACTAATGGTTCCGTTTGCGCGACGCCGTCAGGTCTGTATCGTAATTTATTTAAAGAGGCATTTTTGCGGAAAGCTTTTAGGAAACGTTACAGTCAGAAAGTAATTACCCTTGAAAGGCACCTCATGAATAGGACAAGAGCTCCGCGAATTAAAATTCACTGTTACCGTTCTACGTGAATAATATTGTTGTGTATTTTCAACCGACTTCAAAAAGGAGGTTCCCAATTCGGTATTTTTTAAGGGGTGATGATGGAATGGTAACTCCGCTTGCGCTATCGGGATACACTGGCGGGGCCCCAGTGAGGGATAACAGGTAAGAATGAAAAGGCAGGTCAGTTAGCCCATCGTGACGAATTCCACTAGAAATAACCACGACGGTTTTCAGGGGGAACCGCGTGTAGGTCAACCTGATAGGGTGTATTGCTAGCAATGGGTCAATTAGACCCCATTACTATAAATCCCTTTCCCCCCTCTCAATTCGATTGTATTCTGTCAATTGTAAATCGATTGGAAAAATGTTCTTTAATCAGAACGGATTTTCTTATAGATCGATCCCATAGAATAAGTATCAAAATCAGTTCAGTAGTTTAGTTTATAGATTAAAATAAATAGTTTTAATTCGCTACCAATGATCCGGCTCTCTTTTTTTTTGGGCACAATTGTTAATTATATTTTAGTTATAAAAAAGGTTGAGATAACTATTTTTTTTTGTTCAGTGTACTGGGTTTGGATTCCCAAGCACTTGCGGTTGCGCTTTTGGTGTACGCTCGCATATGCCAAGGTTTGCAGTCGATTAGGTAATTATATGGGTAAAGAATTTGGGCTTCATCATTAAGTGGTGAAATAACTATTTGACAACCTCTGTTGCATTTGGTAGTAATGTTACTTCGCATAAATAAGGTTTCGGGTTCAATTCTCGGTCGGGTCAATTTAGGAAAGGATCTTCTCTAAATTTGCTCTATTCCGGGTGTTCTATGTTTCCAGATGTACATAGCTTAGATTCTGATAGCACAGGGTATCAGGGGATAAGGAAATTATTACACTATGTTATATATGTATATTATATATATTATATATGTATATATATATATATATATATATATATATATATATATATATATATATATATATATATATATATATATATATATATATATATATATATATATATATATATATCGTACACAGTCAAGTAACATTTATATTGAACTATAAACATTGGGTTATTTGAAAAGTACCTCTGGTAGTAACAGTGATGATCAATATTCGAGTGATGGCATTTACATAGATAAAAATTGTAGGAGAATTGAACAAAATTTTTCAATTCAAATAAATAGTACTATGGACTTTCGCAAGTATCATTCCTATCAACAGCTTTTAGATTTTAAAACTCTTATTACTTATTAAAAAAAATTATTTCTTTTTGTAAACATTGTTGAATTGATTGATTTGATTAAATGAATGAAATTTAGTACACGGGTAGTAATTGTAGCCTAATTTAGTATATAAGATACTTTATATAAGCAAGGGCGAAGTCTTGGGACTCAGCTAGTAAATAAAACATATCTATCATCTATCACCAGACAAATTTGTCACAATGATTGTGACAAAATTATGTCGAACAAAACCCACTTGTAAAACATGACGCGATTCTTCGCGTTTCCCTTTTGCTGCAAAGTAGGTACGTGCTAATTTGCATAGGACGAGAAAGTCCTGTGAAATCTTCGAGTACTCTGTAATTTTTTGCGAGATTGTTTTTTTTTTTTTTTAGTCCCCCTATACTAAAATTTCAAGCGAAATGTGGCGCTTAATAAATTCCGATAGAACGATAACGCTCCGCACTTACGTTCCCGATACCGAGTGGAAAATCGGGAAAGGTTCAATTTATCAAGTTGGAAGAAATTTGCCAACTTTTTCTTCAGGGGGAATGATTTCGTTTGTTTTCATTAAGTTCTTATAAAGTTAAAGAAAAGAACAGCAATTATAATGGAATAAAAATGCCAATTCGCCAATTGCTTCCCTTTATTCGAGTTGTTGGGGAATTGGTGC